GAGAGAGAGAGAGAGAGAGAGAGAGAGAGAGAGAGAGAGAGAGAGAGAGAGAGAGAGAGAGAGCTAATTGACAGCTGCAAAGTGTCCTGGAATGAAGCAAGAAGGTTAACTCTTCACTCTGAGGGGGGTCTGCATTCAACTGTGTCGCAGGGGCGAGAGCCTAGAACCATATCCATAGACCCTTGTGGTTATTTGATGTGTTTTTTTTTTTTTTTAAGGGAGATTTGATGATTATTCACTCAGTATGGATCCATAGTCCATTTTGGGTGTCTGTTTGAGTGCTGTGTATTGCAATTTTCTCAGCCAAAGCCGGGTTATTCATATGGGATGCTGGGCCCGGTTCCCATCACATGCTGCTCCCCACAAATATATCAGAGCTGTGTTTCCCGGAAAGGAAAAAAGGAAAAGAAAAGAAAAGAATTGCGCTTTTCTCCTGCTGACTAAACACAGAGTAACCTATCCATGCGGAGAGTTAGCGAAAGACGCACAGCCAATGTTCATTCATTTCAGTTCTTCTGGGTCCCCCAAATACAACACATTGCCATTATTTTTGTCACACAAGACGATCACCGTTTTTTACTTGAATAAGAGCAAAGCACATGCCTTGCATTTTTTTCGGGTTAGGTGGTATATAACCTTGCCTACCATTTTTGGTAAGGTCGTTACCTCGCCTTCCATTTTGTGGTCAGTTGGTGCCACACCTATCCATTTTTGTTATGTTGATGACATTGACTCTTGATTCTAAAGCATTGCAGCTGCTCTTTTTTTCGTCCCCTCCAAAAAGGTCCGTATGGGCCCGACTCCAGATCCGCATCTTTGCAGCTGGTTTGTTTGTTTGTTTGTTTGTTTGTTTTTTTTTTTTTGTTTTTTTTTTTGGCGCGAGAGAGAGAGAGAGAGAGGCTCTAGCCAAATTTTAATGGATGTGATGTCCCTAAGGAGGAAGTTGATTTTGGCTGTTTTGGCCACGCTGTGGTTGGCTATTTGACTATTCGGCTATTTGTCTATTGGGCTATTTGGCTATTTGGCTGTTTGGCTGTTTGGCCGTTGGCTGTTTTTCGGCTGTTCTGGCTGTTTGGATATTTGACTATTTGGTTATGTTGTAGTTGGCTGAGGCTGCACAGTAGCTATAGCCATATCTGCCAAGGCTGTCCTGCAGGAAGGATGGTTTTTATTGACGGCCACATTGTGGGTCAAACTCCCTTGCAGTGGTTGAGGCCACACACTGTGTGATGAGCTCCCACATTGTGGGACAAAGTCCCTCATTGTGGGACAAGCTCCCACATTGGGTGACAGTCACGGCACCAAAGAGATTAGCTGCTTACTCATTTTGACGAAGATTGACAGTCTGAGAACTGAGAGACAGAGTGACTGTCCAAGAGGGCATTGGCAGTCTGGCCAGTGAAGCTATATGGCCTTCCACTCAGAATGAAGCTATGGCCTTCCCGTTACAATGGATCGCATGCCTATAATAGCTGTATCTGGCCTGAAAGTTAGAAGAAGTACAGCCATAAGGAGTATTAAGGACCAACAATACAGGGATCCCTTATCTTGGGGAGGAGATGGCAGCAAATGACGTAAAACATTTGTCACCAAAAAGATTCAGAACTCTATTCATAATTCATCAACGATTCAGTCCACACACTACTTATCACATACTACATACTAAGTATTACATGCGAAATAGTGCTAGTACGTACTGCATGCTGCATAGTCCATAGTATGCACTACACGAAGTACATAGTACACAGTGCTACACACTACACGTACTACGCACTACATAGTACATCGTATGCACTACATGTACTACGTACTACGTAGTACATAGTATGCACTGCATGCTATGTAGTACATGCTACATACTACAAACTACACACTACATACTACGTACTACATACGGCATATTATGTACATGCTACATACTACATACAGCATATTATGCATATTATGTACATAGTACGCACTACATGTACTACATACTACATAGTACACACCAGATACTATGTAGTACATGCGACATACTACAAACTACATGCTGCATACTACATACCACATACAGCATATTACATACTACATACAGCATATTACATACGGCATATTACATTCTATGTACATAGTACGTACTGCATAGTACATAGTACATAATACATAGTACATAGTACACATCACATCAGTAGTACATGCATAGTACGTAATACATAGTACATAGTACACAGCACATCAGTAGTACATGTATAGTACGTAATACATAGTACATAGTACACAGCACATCAGTAGTACATGCTATGTTCTACATACTACATACTACATGCTACATTAGAGTCATGATACAACATATTCCATACTATGTACAAAGCGCATACTACATAGTCCATACTACGCACCACATCAGTAGTACATGCTATGTACTACATACTACATAGTACGAGCACACTGCATGCTACGTACTAGATACTACGTACCAATCACAACTGCCAGGTTTGTCTTCCAACCGATACTGAGATGGATGTTGTCGTCCTGTGTCTGCTTCTTCTTTTTCCCCTTTTTTTCTTTGCTTTCTCTGACCTGTCTCAGAAATTCTTCAATTTATCCAGGGAAAGCGATCTTCCTGACACTATTGCAACCATGGAGAACCCTACAATCCCGTTTAGCTCAATTGGACTCCTGATGAGGTTTGAGAACGGCGATGGCGCCTTCAAGGTGTTTTCACGACAACGACCATCAGAGGAGCTTCTAGATAAGATGTTCAGGTAGGGTGAATTGAGCTGCACCTGGTCCATATCATGGTTAATGGTTGGGGTGGGGGCGGAAGAGAGGGGAGAGGGGGCGGGGCGGGGGGGGGGAGCGTGGTTTGGGAGGAGGGAGGCGGAAGGGAAGGCTGCACAATGGATTGGTGGAAGAGAGAGGTAGAGGGACTGACAGTATTGGGCTGCAGGACAAGGACTCAATTGATCGTCTGCATGGATTGGCTGAGGCTCTATTGTGAATACAGTGTTTTGGTCTTTTTCTTGTTTTCTTTTTCTGAGGCTGGAGATCAATATACGAACTATCGTATGAACTCATCTGTTGGGCTGAGTTGGGCTGCCTGGTGGTTCTGCTCTCTTCTCCTAAACAGAAGTTACAGAACACATTGTTATTAATAACTTATTATGCAATGAACTCACTTCAATTCAATGGCATGCATCACACTGACAGCTCACAGAAAGCTCACACAACACACGAGAGATGTCAATTAGCCCATCCGAAAAAGAAGTGTCGGAATTGTTTAAGTTCTAAGTATATAATACAAGCTGTTATGGCTGCTATCGCCATTACACCACACAGGTAAGTCCCGCTGAGATCTCTCCCTCTCGCTCTCTCTCTTCTATTGTACCTCTGCCTCTCGCTCTCTCACGCTCGATCCTTGGACCGCTCACACTTGCTCTCTGAATACAACTCGCTACTCCTAACTTTGTCTCTCTCCTGCCCTACTTTGTCCTTGCAACCATGGCTGACGTCTTCTCCCTCGTCAACCCTCACTATGTCGCCAATCGCCCTTCTGCTCCTTCGTCAACCAACTGTCCAGTCGCTCAGTCGTACAAGCGCTACAGCATAGCTCTTCAACATGTGAATTGACAAGTGACCCAATGAAGCACTGTAGCATCTATACATAGCAGCTGAAAGTGAATCGTTGTCGGCTTCGGACCGGTACCGGTCGATTCGGCCTCTCGGCTGCAGTTTGCCTAGTTCTGGAACTTACAGGACTTTCCCAGGATGCTGCTGCAATATCGGATATCGGGACTGTAGGCTTTTCTTGTCGGGTACTGGGCCTACGACTTCTAATGACCAAAACTACCGGACCCTGCAGACCTACGACACTTCGGCCTCTAGGCCCTATTGGACTCCCAGGACCCTGGACCTGGGACCTGCTGGGCCAACTAGCACTGGGCCCCAGTCGAGCTGTGGGACAGGGACTCGGGACAGGGACTGTGGGTGAAATCCGTTCAATTATAGCTGCATTTGCCTCGAAAGTTGTAGTAAATACAGCTTTTCTGACGAATGCTTTATGCTTGGAGGAAGGTGGGAGTTTTGGCTATGAGCTTGGGCTAGGTGCCCCATTTACCGGTAGAACCCTGAACTTGGAAGATTTAGAGAAATGTCCTACCTAAGGGGTACAGCCTGCTGAGAGACTGCAAGAACATTGCATTTGGGCAGGTGCCCCATTTTTCTTGAACTCTTCTGTTGGATATGCTTCTGTGTATGCTTTTCGTTATGATCGTTATTTGTAGTCTCAACTTTCAATCAGTTTCTTCCAATCAGTTCCTTAGTGCTTACATCGGGCATGATGACAAACGTGAAGTGGCACAAGGACAAGCAAACAGACATGGAAAAAGAATGGTACGTGCTTTTCCTGTGTTCTGGTTGTTAGTTCCATGTTGCTGTTAGCGTATTGATGTACACAATGAAGTAGCAGTCCACTGTTTCCGTTGAAAGAGGAGCATTGCTTGTGTGGCTATGGTGGGAACCTTCATCTCACAGTCTCTTCTTCTTCTTCTTCTTCTTCTTCTTCTTCTTCTTCCTGTTTTTCTTCTTCTTTCTTCGTCTACCTTCTTGTTCTTCCTTGTGTTTTTCTTCTTTCTTCCCCTTCCTTCTTCCACCTTCTCGTTCTTCCTTCATCTCACACTTCTTCTTCTTCTCCTCCTCCTCCTTCTTCTCCTTCTCCTTCTTTCCCCATCTCCTCCTCCTCCTTCTCCTTCTTACTTCTTCCTCCTCCTCCTTCTTCTTCTCGGCGCAACCATTTTCGTCTCTCCCGGGCCAGAACTTCGCCAATTGATGGGCAAATCTAGACTCGGTGAGGCTGGAGCAGTGGCGAAGTTGGAGAAAAATAATATGAACAGGTAGTAGAGTGGGAACGGAAAAGCAGAAGCAGAAGCAGAAGCAGGAGCAGAAGAAGACGCAGAAGCAGAATGAATGAATGAATTGAAATAGCGAGGCCGATCGCTATGCGTCCCGTGTTCAGAGGATGACCTTGCCCTCTGATTGTTATGCATTCACGCGTCCGCCAGCGGCACACGTTTCTGCGATCGACTGAGAGCCATCCCCGGCGGCATACTGTAACAGAACAGTTTTGCACTCTTTCGACCCACCGTTGCTTCCTCATGTCTGCACCTAACTGTGCTATAGCGTGCGTCGTTCCACGTGTACTGGTTGATAGGGCGGTTCTGCCATTCCCAGTATGGGTGCGATGAAGGCACGTAAGGGCCCTATTCCCTGTGCTCCGCTCCTGCCCTGTCAGGTCATTATCACTCGCGCCAGGTCCTAGACAGTCCCAGTCTTGGAACCGGGTGCGAATCACCCGGTAACATCCCACACCCATTTGCACTTCCCGCCTTCACGTACTTCCCTACTTCATAACAAATTTACAGCCTCCTATTACCATTTTTGCTGTATCTGGACTGAAAGTGGTGCCAAATGCAGCGATAATGACCGGGCATTCTATTCGGGTGAAGACGGCAGTAGTGTACAGCCCGGGCCGTACTACTTGAACCGGGATTCTGTTTCCCGACTTTCTAATGTACAACCCGGTTCCGACCCACCCGAACCGGTGTGAGGAAACCCGGGGAGGGGTCGCCTACTCTTCGCTGAAGCCAAGGGCTACAGCGCCTGTCACTCGCTGCGCCCGCTTCCGAGGTCCTCAGCGACCAGTAGGGTGTAGGGGGTTGCGTCAGCTGTCACACCCACATCCTTTCCTGATCCATATGTCCTCCTGGCGGCACGTCAAAATAGCACAGAAATCTAATAAGATAAAGTAAGTGAATCTGTCCTGCAGATCGGAGGACCAGTCGAAATCCCTCAATGGGGTTCCGCCTGCCGACCCTCGGATCTGGGGGGGGTATGATTGATATTGGCTTCTCTTGAGTACCATCAGGAACAAGCTTAGGCCGGAGAGGGTATTTGAGCACCTCCCAAAGATAGCTATGAGTCTTCAATTATTTCCAGGTCCAGGTCTACAAGTGTGGTCTCTCCCCACAGGTAGGCACTGTCAGATGTAAGAGGGTTTTCTGTTTCACTCGTGGTAGTACGAGGGTGGGTGGTAGACCAAGCTGGGTTCCATACAATAGGTTTGAGAAAAGCATACAGGGAAGGTAGGGTTCTCCGGCCTACCAGTGGCCACTGAATACAACTGCTCTATCCCGATGGATGCGCGATCAACACACCCATATTTCAAGACCGCTTGTTCTAGTAGAAGTCTGGCTCTCTGAATCGTCTGGGTCTCCCCTGATTGCAAGGCGGGAGGGTTCAACAGGTCTGAGCCAGTGGATGTCGCATGTCTGTCGATCTGAGGATTGCAGATCAAAGCATTAATTTTGTTCATGCCCAGGCTACCATGCAAACAAGTTCAGTGCATGCGAGAGTCAATAATTAATTCCTTTCTCAAGATGTAAGAGTCGATTTCTTTGTGTTACACTGTTTAGATTAATAGCAACAGCCCCACGACGTCTCAATCGTTCATTTTTTCCTCACGTCTCCCCCTTGTCTGTCCCTCGATCTGCAGGAGTGCAACATGGCATCACTTAGCGGCTCGATGTCGAGCGAGCCAGGAAGCCACTTCACAGACCCAACCTGATTGTACCATTGGGCTAGTCATCAGATTCGACTTTGAGGCGAGCCAATGTACCAAACATTGCAAACAATCATTTCGAAATTTGGATGGACCAATGAAACGACCAACTGCATAACCTCTGAGCGGGCTACTGGCCCAATAGGCTCCAGTTTGAGCGATCTCGTGATCCGATTGGCAGCTTAGTTCTTGAGATGCAGGCAAGTTAGAAGAACAACTGACCCAATCAGCTCCCTCGATTATCACGGCAACCAATGATCCAGCCCGATTTTAGGGGGAGCACTGGCCATTGAACAGGTACTATTGCAAGTGAGTCCGGGAATCGATTTACGACCCCGATTTTGAGTAAGCTCCTGCGCTTTGTCAGGAGTAAGAGCTGCTTTAGTTGAGCCAAGTTCCACTACCTGTAGAGAGTACTAGATACTCGATAACACAAATTTAGTATTGGGTTGTCTGTTTGTCTTTTCCTTTACCTCAAACTCTTTCTCCCTCATCACGCTCTCGTTAAGCAGACTATGCTCGCCCTCCGCTGACAGTTCGATGAGCCTAGTCTGAGCGTTCCTGAACACAATCAGCGCCAGGTATGTCTAACCGGTAACCATAAATTTGGCGACACTGACAAAGATAACAGTGATCATTAAAAGAAGAAAAACTGTAAGATTAAGAATTAAAAAAAATCTCTAATAATGATAATAAACGGTTATAAACATAAACCACAATTCTCCCCCAATCTTCTTTACTCTTGTCTTTTCAGTCATACCTTCCTCCTCACCGCTTCTCCCCCCGAACTGGTAACGACGCAGGGAAACTCCCTTCCATCCTTCTCTCTCTCTCTCTCTCTCTCTCTCTCTCTTGTTCCGCTTTCCTTTCCCGTTTCATCGAAGAAGAGCAGGTGTTTACAGATCAAAAAGGTCGGGCAAAGAAGGAATACGATCGAACCTCAGTGAATTTCCAGAGTAGATGGGCCTCACAGGCTCCACAGTGATCAATTGTCCGCTTGGAACAAAATTCTTAATGGGCTCTCAGAGCGAAAACGTCTCACAGGCTCATTTGTGACCAGCAGCCCGCTTGGAACGGTGCACTTAATGGATTCTCTGTGTGGAAGCGTTTAGCAGGCACATCAGTGATCAGCAGACCGCCTGGATCAAAGCTCTTAACGGATGCTCAGAGTGTAAACTTTCTGCAGGCTCGTTTGTGATCAGCAGCCCGTCTGAAACAGAGCTCTTAACGGATTCTCAGTGTGTAAACGTTTTGCAGGCTTGTTCGAGATCAGCGGCCCGTCTGGAACAGAGCTCTTAACACAGCGAGACGATGATTGCATCCCCAATATGATTTTAAACAGATACACTGGCATATATACACATGCTTTTCCCCTCATGCCGTGTGTTGCTGAGAATCACTCACCGGATGAGCGCATAATCACAAAAAGAAATTAGTGAAGGGAGCCTCCCGCGAGTAGATGGGAAGTCCCGCCGCCAAGGTCTTCAGCGCTTCAGCAGTCAGATTCAGCGCATGTGGCTCTTGTATGCATCTGTCCTCATTAATCACAAAAATTAGCTTCTTTATACATAGCCCTCCGAAAGGGCCCTCGTCCGTGGGGAGAGCACTTCTTCTCCGTGGATTCCTGCGCAATCCACCGTCACTCCTAGAATTCCGCCCTTGAGCTTGCGAGCTCGTCAATTCCCATAGATCTCAATATTCACAAATGGTCCTCACAGCTACGTCCGCGAAACTGGACGCTGCGAACGCCAGGCACGCCCTCCCCCGCTGTGGCATACTGCGTAGCCACACGGGCCCTGCAGGGCCCGTCCCGGACTTTCAGCCTAAAAGCCTAAAAGTTAGGGCTTACAGGACCCGGTCGTTTCAGCCTGGAAGCTGAAATACGAGGGCCTGCAGGCCCTATTCCGTTTCAGCCTATTTCTGGGCCTTTCAGGCCCAGAGTTTTTCCAGCCTGAAACGGAGGGCCTTTTTCAGGCCCTCGTTGTTTCGACCACTCCTAAGACTCAGGCACGAATACAGGGTTTCGGAACAGGCCAGAAATAGCCTGTTCCTCACGAGCTTGAGCAGGAGCTGCAGCTGCAGCCCCTGCCTTCCTTCGGCATTGGCAAGAGCAGCCTCCTGGACTGCTCGCACGAGTCAGGAGGCACACCCGGTAGTACATAGGAAGTTCCCATGCACTTCACGGGTAGGTAGTTGTCAGAGGCACGAGTAGTCTTCAGGATTCGGCCGCAGCACTCAGAGGAGCGCTGCAGTAGTCTTCAGCGCTAGGCATTAGTATTAGCGCTAGTAGTAGTCTTCGGCGCTGGGTGCCCATAGACATAACTGTAGTCTTCAGCGCTGGGCGCTATCAGGTGGTAGATCGTAGAGTTGGGAGAGATGGCTGGCGGAGGCCAGCGGTACTTACCTGTGGCGCCCTAGCTCCAGCTCCATCTTCGAGGTACCTGCATCAAGGCGCCAACTTCACAGGTTAGTACTGGACACAGAGAGAGAGAGAGAGAGAGAGTTCTTCTTCTTCCTCTTCTAAGTCCACCATCTCTTCTCACCCTCTCGCCACCTGACTTCTCAGACTACGACAGAGAGAGAAAGAGTTGTGACTTGAGACTTGACGACATTGGATCCAGACTGGACATTTGGGATTCAGACATTTCGACGAGGGATTATTTGGGCCTGTGCCGAGACTTGGTGTTGACGACATTCCCATCTTCCCCTCCTCTTCGTCTAACCCCTCCTTCTTCGTCTGTGTATGGTTGGGGCTGGCGCAGTCTTCCTGTGTGAAGCGCCAGACCCCCTTCACACCAGATAACGATGATGATGATGTGTGTTCAGGGCCGCATTGCAATATTGATTGTTCGGATCATTAGTATCTAAGTCTTCCTCTGTGACCTCTTGTACTTTGTATTGAGAGGTCGGTTCTTGTTCTGGTCTGCACGTTAGAGTATGCAACACCCGCGCTGCCATGATTTTCCCCTCTTCTTCACGCGGCTCTTCGCGTTTTTCCCTCAACGTCATAAACAGCGCTCATCTGATGGAGTGGACTCAACCTAGCGAAATGGGCGCTGAGTACGTCGTGCACGCTCCTGTCTTCCCAGTCCGAATGTGTCCCTGCCGCGCACGACAGGTGCCCTTTTCTCCCTAGCTGACTCGAGCTGCCTGGGACAATTCCGAGGGGGACTGCGTACGCCTGGCTCGCCTCCCTCGGACAGAATGCGGCCTTAGCTATAACCTCCAGCGGCTGGGCCTGTCGCTCGCCAGGGGATGCTGGCTTTGCCTCAATGCCTGTGGAGGACCCACGTAGGCCAGCGGTACCGGTTGAGTCAGGCCGAATAGGCCAATTTTGAACTAATGACTCAGTGCCAGTGCGAGCAGACCCTATTATCGCCACAGCAGGCACAGTGGCACCGCTATTTGGTCTGTAAACTTGATAAAGTCACTGTAGGCACGGTGGTACCGATTTCCCCCAATCTCAACCCATCGAATCCTGTACTCGACCCAGAGCAGCGCTAGTCACAGTAGCCAGAACCAATGCCACGGCCCACATGTCTCAGTCGAAAAATCAGTACCGCTTAACCAGACAAATTTCCATTGTGACCATGCAGTTAGGTAGATTCCGCCCTAGTCCCCACACAAATATAAAGATGGTTTCAAGCTGCAGCGAACCATATCAACATCGAACCAGCAACCTTCCTGTCGTGACCCGGCTATCGTGGAGCCGATCTGTATCAAAGTAATAACATTGAATTGGAGTACGTTCGGCAATCCCGGGCCAGACCCGATACCGTGCCAAGTAACTCAAACGTACCAAGCCAGTGTGCATACCAAATTCACAGTACCAAGCAGGAGCAAACGGCCCAAATACCGAGCCAGTGGTCGCATCGCCTCGGCCGGGCTGCTAGACCAAGGACCGTACCAAGTTGCACTTGTGTTGCACCAATACCGAACCAGTTACCATACCGAAATAATAGGCCAGGCTGCAGTATGTTGTTCCAGTACTGTGTCAGTGCCGAACCAGGCGATCCCATTGTCGTATATGTGCCAAGCCTCAAACCATACCAAGAAGAGTCAGTCGCCGTAGCCCGAAACCAGCCCCGCTGATCCAACCGCCAACATAACCAATGTCCATCCCAGTGTCGGAATAATTAACAGTCAATACCGTACGTCACTCAACGCGCCATAGGAATTCAGGAGGATACGGACATCGCGTGCTCAATAACCGCCGGATTATGACAAGGGTAATAATTAGGGAAAACCCGGTAAAATTCGATAAATAGAAGAAATCCGTTAAAATCAATAAAGACAATTAAATGGATAAATTCAGGTTATTTACTTGTTTTTCAATCCCTTTTATCATTTTCAATTTTATTTCTCATCTTTAATTCCATCATCAATTCAATTAAAACTTGAGGCTCGCACTCTTGCCAACTGGTCAACGTGAAAAAGGCCACGCGAAGGCCTACAAGCATACCTTCGCCTCATGCCTGGCTGATTCGAGGACAGCCTCAGAACATACGAAAAAGGTAAGTGTCAGACGCGGTAGAGGCGGCCGTTCAACTTATTAAGGGTTAGTTCCTGCGCTCGGCGCAAGGGAGTTCAGAGTTCCTCTGAGGATCCCTAATTTTCCCTGACAGTTCCTACAAGAGTACCCGATAATTCTTAACTGTTCTGTCGGTTAACGGCCCAATCCCTTCAAACTCGGGTGGCCGACTGGTCGGCGACCGCCCGACACCGGGCGACTTTTCCTAATTTGACCTACTGGTCCCGAGGCCTGTACTACCCATAGGCCCACCATTCACCTTTTTCTGACCCCCTCTCCTCTCTCTGGGACCAGTAGAACAAATTAGGAAAAGTCACCTAGCCCGTAACCCCTAACCCCTAAGCTCTGAAGCCTATATCTTTGCAGTATTCTCCTGCTTTCTGTGTTTTGTCTGGTTAATAGCTTCTACGGCTCACACCAGCAAGAAACTTAACAATGAGGAGATTAATGTGCCTTGTGGTTTGTCATTACTGCCATTTTGCTCTTATGCCTCCATCAGCTTGCTGTTCCTTCATTCCCTCCCTGTGTGAGAAAGAAGTACAACTTATGTGACCATGACCTAGTCCATTGCCTTGGTGGTACAGTCCGTATTCTTTGATTTATGCTGTCTTCGCCTGAATAGAGCCTACGGTCATTATCGCTGTTTCTAATTGTGATCCTGCGTTCTCCTCAAGGTCGGTGGTTTATTGGTGTTGATTCTTCTGGATGATTGTGTTTGGCAGAACTTTTCATTCCCATGACCTGGGGCTGTCCTCCAGGCCGGCGGTTTATTCATGTATTTAGTATTTATTTGTTTGAAAAGTTCGACCCTTTCTCATCATCCGTGCACAGGGACTGTACTAATCTTCTTTCTCCGTATCATTCCAATTTTAACGGATGTCCTGATGTACGAGGTCGGCTGCTTATTGACATTGAATGCATTCTGTTTGGCAGGCGACGACTGGAAACCATACGAATTGATTGGGCCGCTTATCCGCTGTACAAAACACCGGAGGAATTTGCGCCGTTCTTGCTCGATGATCACCATTTGTATTACGTCAATGCATTTGAAAATGCAGCTAGCACCGTGGAGACCATGGCAGTTGCTGCAAAGAACGTTGCGAAATTGATTGTGAAACGGCTGTCGGATCGCACTCAGCACAGGCACAATGTTGCCTCGACGATGGGTAAGAGAAGAGGCAGTTTCCGCTATTTCATATTTGTATCTTGTTTTCCTATGATGTCTGGTGGCCTGTTATATTTCCAGAAGCTAGGCAAGCACATTTTCTTGTTTTTCGTTTCGCCTTGTGTGTTGGTTTGCTTGTGTCTTCAATTATTTGTGCAACTGTATGGTGTGTGTCCATGGCTGGCAGCATTGTCGAGCCTCGGCCCGGTGGCCCCGGCGGGGGTCCGGGGTGGGCACCCCCGACCGCGGCTCCACTCCCCCCCCCCCCCCCCCCCCAACAACAAAAAAAAAAAAAGAAGAAAATACTCGGGGGCGCGCAGCTTGAGTCTGCACCCCCTGGCCGCACCTTTCAAAACCCCAATTTGACCCCACCTTGGACCCCACCCGGGGCCACACCCACCCCTGGTGAGACCGGGGTGGCCTCAGCATGGGCCCGCGGGCGGGGCCAACAGGGGGCGGGGCCGGGGT